AGACATTTATAATGGAATTGAAAGAAGTAGCAGCTAACAGTAAATAACAAATTAAAAAGTGAAGGATAATATTCAATGGCTTCATCTAAGCCAAAGGCAGTGTGTTGTCCCTTTACTACCAAAATTCTAGTTCATGATATGAATAATGAGCCTTATGCATTTGGCTTTTCTTTTGTTGGAATCGATGATGGAAAACTTCTAATTGTCACCATCTCCTTATCAATTAATATCAAGTGCTATATATTATTTGCACTTCGTCTTGAGGTTTTATATATATATATATATATATATATATATATATATATATATATATTATATATATCAATACGTCTTGTCAGATTGTAATATTTAATTAAGGCGAATAAATGTAGAAGAATTAAACATTTATGATCGATTTTTATTAGTCTTTTTCCATTATAACATTACGATTCTCCTGTGTGAAATTATGTCAATTATCAACACAGTACTAACTATAGATCGATGTCACAAGCACGTTTGAGCCTTATATATATATATATATATATATATGTAATTACATTTGTATGTATGTATGCATATATGTATGTAGATTTCATACATTGCAACTGGTTTACATTGTCCATGCCTTCCTACCTATATTACATGGTTTTGGTTAGCTCAATATCTCAATTAATCAGTTGAGAGTTGATTATCAAGGTCCAAGATCATATTCATCCACTACTGAAATATCTCACCATCATGATGAAAGATTTCTAGTCCCATTATTTTTATGATCCATATATTCTTTTCTTTTTGGCTTCCGTAAAGAAGGCTTACATCCCAACATTGAAAATCCTTCAGACACGCACTAGCATTGCTGCATATACATCTTGAAAAAACAACATCACTTAATTGGAAAGCACTTGGAGACAGATCAATGTACTGCAATCATTGAATACCACTGAACAAAAACTAGAACTTAATTAGAACATTAAAAAAATCCAATCTCCTCATAAATGTTATAGTGTTGGATGCAAAAGTAGCTTCTTGCGGCTCATTTTGAGAGGCAATTCAGAGCTTTGCAAGGTTAAATAGATTCTATTATAGACTGTGGTCAAATATTATCTCAAACAGTTGACTTTTAATGTTAATTTGCAAGAGAGTGTCCCTTTTAAAAGTCTTTAGCATGTGCCAAATATACATCTTCCTTTATTTATTACAGTTGCAGAAAACCAAGATAATAAAAATGCTTTGACAAGTTAGGTTCGTTGGGGAAATTGCTCTTCCATGTATGTTTTTTTTATTTTTTATTTTTTATTAACCTGAATATCGAATCCGCTATACGAGCTGACTAATCACAGGACGACCACCTGCTTTGCAGATAGCCCGGAGTGCATTTGAACCTCCGTGGCAACAAGGGGATTTTTATTCCTCCTTGGATTTGAACCTAAGACCTCCTGATACTTTTGACCTTTGAAGCCAAGCTCAAACCAATCAGACACCACCCTTGTGATTTCTTCAATGTATGTTTTTGCCCTTAATCATTGTTATTAACAACTTGATCTCTTGTGCATTAGTGTATGTTTCCATCTGCTTTTTTTGGTTGATCATGGAATTTGTCCGTAATTAGGATTTATGTAGGTTTACTCTAATACGTAGTTTCCCTAAGTTGTTTAAATTAAACCGTAATTATGCTATATTTTTGCCCTAATCTATAGTATCAGTAGTTTTTAATGTGCGAATTAATTTCATATTAACACGTTGTCAAGGAATCTAAAATTCCATTATATATGTGGCATAATTGCTATGCATTCTTTGAGTTTGTGAATTGGAAAAATATTATTCCACCTGTAATATTATGTTATGTACTTAATTTGAATATTGTTTATATCACTACTAGAAAACTGACTATTTCCGATGGAAAATCCTTCGCTGGAAATCTGTTGGAAATCCGCCACTATTTATATAATAGGCATTATTTTCGATGGATTGTACAAATTAAATAGGTGGAAAATTATTAATTCTAATTACAATAAATTACCGGGGGATTTCTCGCTGGCAAAGGTGACCAGTTTGGTAGTGCATATGCAACAATATGCTTCTAGGGGTTGCATATTGTGTAGGGAAAATTGCACCAAAATATAACCAAATTTCACCTAATTCCTATTTTGAAGAACCAACTTTCAAAATTGTTATTTTGGGGAACCAACTTGCACCTGATTCCTATTTTGGGAACCAACTTGCAAAATAATTATAGAAAAATAACTAAAATTCGTTTTTTTCCAAAAATTTATGCAATAAAATCTATTTTTCATTTCAAATCTCGTTTTTTTTAATTCAGATATCAAATTGAACATTTAAAAAAAATTCCAAATTACCACAACAAAAATTGTTTTTTATTGCATCAATTAATTTTTTTCTATTAAATTGATTTTTTTGCATTAGTAAAAAACAATTTTTATTGTGATAATTTGGATTTTTTTTAAAAATGTTCAATTTGATATTTGAATTAAAAAAACGAGATTTGAAAGGAAAAATAGATTTTATTGCATTAACTTTTGGAAAAAAACGAATTTTAGTTATTTTTCTATAATTATTTTGCAAGTTGGTTCCCCAAAATAGGAATCAGGTGGAAGTTGGTTCCCCAAAATAACGATTTTGAAAGTTGGTTATCTAAAATAGGAATTAGGTGAAAATTGGTTTCATTTTGATGCAATTTTCCCTATTGTGTAATATAAAATTTTATTTGAATCTTGTGAGTTACAACTTACAAGTGTAATTTATGTTGGAAAAGCATGTCAAAACTTGTAAGTTGTTAGTTTGGAAGGGACATTCTTTGTTTTTGAGATTTCATCTGCAAGTAATTTTGTGTTTGCTAGAGATGAACATACTATTTGCAAGGACTTTTTTACAAGGGAATATAAAGAGAATGTCCCTTGAAGATGACATATATATATTAAATAGCTAAGGCCATTTCAAGATTTTGTGAATCTATTGTTTGTGTTACACAATAATAGATCTCAAAATATAAATTTCATAAACCCAATGTATATGTAAAAAAAAAGCAGATTCATAGACGAGTACCCCTTGAAGATGAATAGTTATTCTTTAGTAACTTACTACCTAAAACATATTAAAAGGTCGCAATCAAAATCGAAGTGGAAAGGATCATAAATTCCCTTATAGTTAATTTCAACGTCTTCGTCATAGCTACACAAAAACCTAAACAAACCAAAATATTTATACCAATGAGATATATTAATTCAAATGCACTGCGTATCAAGTCTATTATTCTGATTTCATTTGTGATTTTGTTATAAGCTCATAAATACAAGCTTCAATGGTTTGGATTAAAAATGCACGAAGCCAAAATATGTCGTTTGGTCCCAATATTGGGTTGTGCATAGGAGGTCAAGATTACTTTTCACAAGCAAATTCATATATGAAAGAAGTTTATCAAAGGACTTGGTACTTGTCTGATCAATCACACTCATAATTTTAATAGTTCATTATGGCAAAAGAAGTACTCTCCTTTGTTCCTCGGGCTAGTATATATATATCTATCTACTCAGTAAGAAGAAAAAAAAAGCGAACTTCTTCTCTTAAGGCCAGAATAAAAAGAAAGGAACATCGTCGTGGTGGCTACAACCTGGCTTGGGAATTTGTCTGAACTATGGAAAATAGAGTGAAAAATTCACATCTTACTGCAAGGTGTGTGGCCTTTTAAAGGAAGTACAAAATTACTTAAAGCAAAAATGAATACTTGATGCTAATATCAGTTATAAAATTAATTATGGTCGTTGATCTAATGAAATAATAACTCTTCATTTTAGCTTGTTTATTTCAACTCATTAACTAATTCATTTTGAGATTGATTTGATTGGGAGGATGAGGAACTAAGACAGTGGTTTGACTGTTGGGATCCAATCGGCCTGCATCAGCGAGTTCGGCTTAGCTTCAAGTATGTGTCAAGAACAAAAGAAGGGGATCGCCACAATCCGTGACTCGTTCAAAGGGAAGGTCCACCAATGATTGTCATTAATTCTCCCCCTATCTGTCTCTTGATCCCACTTATGTTGTTTGAAAAATTTGCAACAAATCGTTTGTTTGTCCAACGGAAGCTATATGGTTGATCGAGAGAGTTCTTTGGTGATCTTGATCAGGGACGGATCAAGATTTTTTTTTAAAAGTAGTACCATTTGACTATAAGAAACAAATAGAGAAAAAAATTTATCAAATGGTGCCACCATATGACTAAGAAAATGACATTAACATGATTCAAGCTCGGGTCTGAGGTGGAAGAAAAACCTTGCAAACCAACTCTACAAAACAAAACTTGTTCTCATTGTAGTTTCAAAATGTACACAGTGACACACAACAAATTAATACAGTAACACTTTTCACGACCCTAATTTTTTTACACTACAACGGATGAACAATATGGTGGCACAGGTTGTCATATGTTCTAAATTGGGTCCGTCTCTAATCTTACGGTGTCTCTTGTGACAATCGAAATACTATTTTCAAATACCACTAAATTAAATATTTGATGTCCAACTTGAAAATACATTTCTTTCTTAACAACAAGCTAGGCTATTGTATTTCACTTAATTGAATTTCCATCATTATACTTTGCATATACTATTTTTTTGTCAAAGTTCATTAAATCCCATAGATTTATACAAATCAGTGCATGGGAAGAAAGAAAGAAGTAGCATTTCTGCAGTTTTGTGCTTCTGATCATGATGTTTGATGGATCAAGTTCTTACATTTTCCAGTTCTCTTTTCAATTTGATGTCATCTTTTTTCTACACTTCCTTTTTATGAGCAAGGTTAAAGCATGTGACAATGCATGGGAATGAATAAAGAGCTCTCTTACACATTTGGCAAAAATATACCCCTTTTCCTGCTAAATGTAAAGTCCTCCATTACAACTACCGATGATCACCACATCATCCTTTTTTAACAAAATTAAAGTTATATATCTCTCTCTCCATCTCTCTCCAGAGCAGATGATACAAAAGTTAACTGGTTTTCACTCATATCTTCTTCTTACCCAGGAACAAACATTATATATGATGAAAATGTTAACTATATATTATTAAAAAGGGCGATATATATTGAATCTCTCACAAATTTGATAGGAAGGACATGCTTTTCAAACCCTCCACCCTTTTGTTGCTTTCTGTCTTTCTTGTCTCCTTGTCTTTCTTTAGCTCTCTTTTCCTTCTTTTCTTTCCTTTACTTTCTTTTCTCTCCTGATTTTCGCAGTGGTACCTGATTCTCTTTCACTAGCTCCCATTCAAAAACACAATTATATCAAAATGAGTAGTACAGTCCATATATATATACATACACATACATATATGTATATCTCATCACATGTGTCACTGTGGCCTTCCCAAGGTGAACTCCAGATTTGGCTTCTTGGGGCTTGATGAACTCACTTCTGACAATCTCTCATAATTCACACCTTTTGAATTCATTTCCTTCTGAAACATTGTTTGTCATGGAAATTGTATCAAGATATTATCTCCGATGATGAAGAAAAGGCATACATTTATATGTGCTTCAGTAATTTAATTACATGAGAGATCAGAAGAGGGTAAAAATATGAGAGAATATTTCTGAGGAAAAGCTAGCCGATCGCTAGGATATATGCTTCAGATAGTATACGAAACGGGTTGTGGTACTGTGCTCATTTATCTCTAGATATTATAAATTTCCTAAATTCATAACCATAGAATTAAAAGAAAAGTGCTATGCTTTTGTAATTTGAAAACTTCCAGTTCTTTGACCTGAATAGGGCTTACTTCCTAACCCCGGTGGGAGTAGTGACTAGCGTTATAGGTCATTGGGCGGTCGGAAGGTTGCCACGGTCGAGTAAGCCAGTTTGGGGACTGAAGGCAGTTCTCTCTCTATATATATATATATGTATGTATGTATATCTCGACAAACAAACAAAGTGGACACCCTTCAATTAAGGCATTCAAATGTGTTCCTATTCTAGCTAGTTAATTTGTGTACCCTGAATCATATTTGCATTAGCTGTATGAGTTAGCTAGGTTGCAGGCCTTTATCGAGTTTACCTTTATTTGCTTCGAGAGTCGGTGGCTTTAGTTTAAAGAAAGGTATAATTGACCCTTAAATATTTTGGTGACTTGACCTAGGCTTTTCAAAAGTTCATCTTTCTTTGCTCTCTCCTCTTCCCACTTTACATAACATTCTCATGAAATTTGGAATATATTTATTTATTCCCATGCAAAGCATAAAGCTACCGATATCACGTAATAGAATGTATCAAAAGTGGTGAAAGGAGATCTATACTCACTTAATAAACTAGTAGTTATATTATTAATTCGAACACAAGAATTTAAGAAATCATATCTACCTCAAGAAATGGTTTGTTTCCTTCAGAATCTCTATGCTCTCCATGCAACCAAGCTTCCCTGATGATGATACAAAGATCAGTATATTACCAAGGGAATAATTCGAGTCAGTGGGTAGTCCATGCAGAAATCAAACTCATAAAGAAAGCTATCTTCCATTGTCTCGTTTATAGCTAGTTTCTTGCTTTACCTTTTTGTTATGGATAAAGCTAAAACCCAACCCATGTGAGATGCCATTACCCATGCAACACCAAGATAAAAATAGAGGAAAGAAAGTGAAGTTTACAACACACGCAGATAAACAGACAGAAGGTAAAAGGAAGATTAAAAGAGAGCAGATTTGGCATCCACCAAAATTTCACAAAAGGGCTTAGCTTTGACACTAAGTTTTACAAGTAGAAGGTCCCACTTAGAATTCCCATGGAAGCCCACAAAATCAAAGGGAAAGAGATATGTTCAAATTGGAGACCTCGTGACTTCATCGTAATTATGGTAAGAGAGTTCTTTTACTTTGAATCTCCTTTTCAAACCACTTGGAACCGAGATAATTAGCTGCCAATTATGGAGCTCTAATTATATCGAAATAATTGAGGGTACCCTCCAAACCGGACATATTAATACCTTTATTTTATTCCTTGAATTATGGATGACAGACAGGAGGGTAATTAACAGTGAACGAAGCTGGTGTCAAGAAAATGTCAGAACTGTTGATGTTAAATCGTGATTAGAGACAAACATGAACTAGAAGACAAAGCTAAAGAGCCCAAAAACGCCAGAATGTTCGCGGTAACGGCGAGCATCATTCATTTATACAACATTAATGAATATATAATATATGTATAACTATTCTGAAGCGTCCTAATTATGAGAAAATGATCTATAGATTTCATTTGTTGGGGATCATGAGCATGAAATACTTATTATGATATGTAAATGAGATTAATAACATTAAACTAGTGTCGGTCTAATGGCCATCTGCAAGGCACAAAAGGAAAATAATTCAAATGGGTGAAAGGTTCTGCTAAAATTCGAGACACAGTTAAAACTACTGTTACATATTCGCTTTTTGATGTATTTTAGAAAAGGCTAAAGTTGAAAATTTACCATCAGTTACTTTTTGTTATGACCGCATAAAAAAAGATTGTTTGGGGAATGATATACTTGTGGGTTTTACATTGCACCATTCATTTCATCACAAAAGGTTCCTTCACATATCCTAAAAGATCATGGATCAGAAGTATAAACAGTTAAAAAAAAGTTTTCACCTTGAAGAATTGCTCCATAGACCATACTGACAATCTTTCTCCTGAGGAACACTAGACCTTCCTCCATGTTCAGCTGATAACTCTGTCGATCTTGGGTTACGAATGTCAAACATGATATCATCAGAATTATCGCCAGATGACCCATTCTCGTAAATATCAGATTGCCCTAATCAATGGTGGAAAACCATCGGTCCCAAGTTAATAAATGAAATATACTAGCATTGTGAAATAAAAAAAAAAGTCAAACATAAGTTAGGTAAATAAAGCTTATGAACCTGAAGAAGCTGGTGCTCGGTCAGTTGTCTTTACCGTTCGATACATCTGCAACACAAAAATAAACGATGAAAAATGATGATTAAGGAAATACATTTGCTCTCTTTATCTAAAACAACGCAACCCTTGTTTCAAACTGTTAATTTTATAGAAGAAACAAATTAATTGTCCGCATAGTAATCCTTATAATATATTCATGATTATGGTACACAAGCTTTCCAGATGATATAATTAGGTCTTTGATTATTAGTAAAAAAATTATTAAAATATATATATATATATATATATATATATATATTTATTATATATAAAGTTAGGTTCAGGAGAAAACTGTAAAAAAATGAAAATTTAAGGAACCTCTTGTAACCTTTCATCTGAATGGTGTGTGTGTGTGTATATATATATATACATATATTAGGGGATATTCTTTTGAGAACCTGTGAAATTATGATAACTTTAAGAACTTGTACATTATATGTTATTTCATATGATTTTTTTAATCTAAGACTAGAATTTAGAATATTGATTAATATATATTTGTTTCATAATTTATTCGTTTCATATGTACTCGTTTTACAATGTAAACATTTTTTACGTGTTTGTGAAACAAAAAAATATACGTAAAAAAGTTTCACATTGCGAACCGAATACGTATAAAAGAAAGATATTGTGAAACAAATATATATATTGTATTTTTTTTAAATGATACGTTATTATGAAGGCACCTAAAAAAGCTGTTATGTATGTACTTTCAACAATTTGCACAGATAGTATTTATATTACATGGCCTACGAGGTAATATATTAATTTTATTACGAAAAGAACTAATTTTCAATGAAGCCTAGTTGGTATTTATGCAAGAGATCCTTTGTAACTTACTTTCACCATATTGTAATAAGGTACAAAATATAAATGTCCATGTATGATGCATTATATATGTGAAATCAGAAGTACAAACATGAGTAAATGATGAAGAGTACATGATGGTAGTATGCGACCATGCATTGACAATGTATATATATGGTGCATGGTGGTACAAGTGTAAGACCTGACCATCTGACTTAACCATGGTTGATATGGGTAATGCATGGTTAAGTCAGAAACCACATGTGATGCTAGACATATACAAACATATCATTGACAAATGATGGCGTTTTTGTACTCTCTCATATCTCAAGTTTCCCTCTGAAAAAAAGGATAAAATTATTCAATTCAACCCCTCACTGTGTAGACTTGTCTTGGCTTGGACTCTCTATGACTGTGTTTTCAATTCCTCGGGCTTTGTCTTACTATGCATATCTCTCTCTCTCTCTCTCTCTATATATATATATATATATACTCTCTCTCTCTCTCTCTCTCTATATATATATATATACTCTCTCTCTCTCATACACACACATTTATATATACACATAATATTATAATATAATTAGTATGAGTATTATATTATAAATATCTAAATACATGGAGGGTTCTTGCTTCTAAGCAAAAAAGCTAAACTGATAAGCTATGGTTATGCAGAACCATCAGATCTAGTTATAGGAGGAGGAGAGAAAGTGTCAAGGATTAGAGATGCCTCTCTGCACATGAACAAGCATTGGAAATTGTAATTCTTTATAATTATTTGAAAAATATAAATAGGTTTCTACTAATAATGCAAAGTCCTTCTTATGGTGCTAAAGTCAAAAAGAAAATAATGAAATCTGAATCTGGATATATATATATATATATATATATATATTATATATATTAAAGATTTTAGTATGAAGGTGCCTTGACTGTGTACTATAAATATATTTACACAGTAGACAGACAATGCATCTTGCAAAGCAATTAAGTTTTGAAAACAGAAAATAGATGTATCAATAAGGTTAATTTGAACATTGCAAAAATGGAGGCCAAGTGAACCTGCAAGTGAGATTTAACATGAGATAAGGTGAGATCTTTCACATCCATGAGCTCAAGAACTGACTTGGGTGTTGCTCCTAAAATCATTAAAAAACAATATGATCAGTATACAAAAATGTAATAAGAACAAACACCTCTTTATGATGAATACGGTAATTACAAGGATAAATCAATAAATTAATAAAGAAGAAGAACAATTCAGAGGTGTAGAAAATACGTACTTTCGTGACCACCCAAAAGCTCAACAGCATGAACAAAGCGAGCATGAAGGGTGGTAGTCCAGCGCATCCTTGGAGCTCTCATGCTGCGCTTGGACGGGAACCTCGAGGACAAGAATCTTGATCGCACAATATTGTTAATATTATTGCCATGAATTAGAGAACTGGTAATAGTAGAATTAGTGCAGGAATCTAACAAAGGCTGTTTCTTTTGATGAGGATGCGCCAATATCGGGAAATTAGGAGGGGTATTCTGGTAATAAACAGGAATCCCTCTTATAGGTCTCAAAAAACCTAGCTCTGAGCTAAACCCCTGATGATGGTTTTGGTGATGTTGGTAGGGATAGATATTCGTAGCCGTGTTGGTGTTTTGGGAGAGGAGATTGTGGAAATGGGTCAGGTCAGAATTAGTCGTCGAGTGAGTCTGGTTCGATAAGGAGAGCCCGAAAGAGGGTTCTGATCTTTTTGTTGAACCATGTTGTTGGTGCTGCTGCTGCTGCTGCTGCTGTTGTTGTTGTTGGTGTAGCTGTTGGGAGTTAAAGGCTCTTTTCCACAAATTTCCCAAATCCAAATCATGGTGATCTTGATCAGTCGCTGTTGATGATGTTCTCCATGGTTTGGACGTGGGTTTGCTGTTGGGTGGACTGATTTGAAGAGACAAGTCTGGTTGTGCTGGAAAGAGCTCCATTTCACTCGCCAAAACTCGAACTTTTATCCACCCTTAGTCCTTGTGATCAGCGAAATGGCCAAGAGACTCGAACCAGCGACTTGACAGAAAGAAAAAGAAAGAGGTGTATATGTGGTCACCAGCTTGTTCTCTCCTCTCTAGCCTGTTCTTGCTCCAATCTTCATTAAACCTTCAATATGGTAGTCTCTTGTGAGACTAAAAACAGCGATGGGTTTGATTCTGTTATCTGATCTATGCTGTGAATACGATGATGATGATGATGTTGTTGGAGGTTTCCTGTTTCCCCTCTCAAGATTTCTTGAGATGAGATTTGTCTAATCAATGGTGAATTGGGAGTAGTTGTGGAGTTGTGTAGAGAGAGATGACAAAGTATTAAGTGAATGGTTGTATCTTTTATGTGAAGTATATGTGAGAAAATGACACTTGAAGAGACTGGAGAGAGAGAGAGAGAGAGAGAGAGAGAGAGAGAGATGCTTTCTTTTATGTGGACGTGGGAGTAGGAAAAGAAGAAAGGGAGGAAAAACAAAGAGAGAGAGAGAGAGAGAGAAAGGAAAAAAAGGTAAATACGTTGGAGAAATGATTCCTTTACCATCTTTTCCTTTTCTTGTTATTTTTTTCTTTTTATCAATTGAATATCTCATACTCCATCCCTTCTATGAAAATGACAATAAACCTTTATTTGAATTAATTTATTTCATTATTATTTTACTTACAGTTGTAAAACTTTTATTCTTTTCAATTATTTCATAATGAGACCGACGTCAATACAAGGATATTCTTTTACAAAATCATCATAGATCTGTTGGTTAGTTCATTGTTCTTCATATGTGTGAGGTTTATTGTTCAAGTTTTGTATTGTAATTTTTCTTTCATAAACATAATAAATATGAAGTTAGAAGCTGAAAACTAAGAAAATGGCATTGATGAGATTCGAACTCGGGTATGGGTGGAAGAAAAGTCTTGCAAACCAACTCTATCAAGAAAAAAAAAATTTGTATCTTCATTGTAGTTTCAAAATAGATGCAGTGGCACACAACTAATTGATACAGTGACACTTTTAACGAAACGATGACTCATATGGATCCATCCCCGCCGAAGGAACAAGATAAATTCGTGATGCATTATTGTTACAACATATCTTAAGGAGGCCCAAGGCCCAAATCATGTTTCTATTACACTTAAACTTTATTATTGGTGTAACTATCAAACTTGAAATCACTTTGGGTTATTGGCTAGAAAAAGGGACATGTCTCATATGCCAATGTGACCTAAATATAAAGATGTAACAAAATTAATCAATCTTTCTTGTGTGACATGAACTTAAAAAGAAATAGATGTAAATTATCAAAAAAAAAAAGTAAATAACTTAAAAATACACATTTTTAGTAAGTAATGTTACGATTTCAGATGCAATTTCTCTGAAACGATAGAGACGTATACATGATAATTTAAATCGTAAGCTGCAACCTTACATTCATGTATCATCTGATAAATCATCAACAACGTGTATCAATAAATGAAGAATACAATTCATGATCTTTTAGTACAATTTTGGGTCCTTTTAGAAAAAGTACTTACCACCCATTCGTTTTCACTTTGTTGTATTAAAATCGGATTTTTTATGCAAGCTTTTGAACATGTGAAAGTTTGTCGTCGTCAACCAATAACTCAATTACTAACCTTTCTTCATTGAAGTTAGACCAATGGTTGTTGCCCCCTTTTCCCGAAAAACCCTAATTTCAACAAACTTTCCAGATTCTTGATTTGGTACTTGATTACACAATGCTCCATACTTACCCCTATATGTCTTGTGTTAATCACCTACTAATACAACTTCTTCATAATTGTGAATAAAATAATGGCCTTGATTTGAGGAATTTCATTGAAAAATAAATTCAATATGACATCTCTGTTGGGAACTTTACAAAAGGGTATTGAATATTATATTTGAGGAAGATGGAAGACTTTAAATTTAATGTTAAAACATGTTTTAGAATTGGTGAAATTTTTACCATGTTTTAAGATATACACTACAACAAAATCGGGTTTATAGGACATTCCTAAATTCTAAGCGTTCTAATAGATCTCTTTATAGGACTTAGTTTATAGGACCAAAAAAATAAAGTGTTCTATCTAAAGGTGTTGTAATAAGTTTATCTGACATTTTTTGATGTCGTAATAAGTTTTTTAGGACACTTTTAATATAAAACGTCCCATTATCAACTTTATAGAACATTATTTGGAAAAATGTTCTATGAAAACAAATATCCTATAAAAAATTGAGTTTATAGGACAATTTCTCAAAAGTGTCCTATAAAATTGTTAATCCGACGTCTTGTATTAAAAATATCCTCAAAAACTTGTTAAGACTCCCAAAAGCGTCATATAAACTTATTACAACACCTTTAGATAAGATACTTTATATTTTGTTCCTATAAATTAAGTCCTAAAAAGCAGTCTATTGGGACACTTAGAGATTGTGGACGTCCTATAAGCTCAATTTTGTTGTAGTGATATTTTTGTAAAATTTTATAAATTTTAATTATAAATTGCTCTATTTTTGGTATTTAGTGCAGTATACATGTATCCATTAATTAGACGGGTTTTTAATAAATAAAAGAGAAATAAGCCGTTTGAAACAAATAAAGCTATTCATTTCCAAACACAAAAAAAGGTAAGTCGATTTCGAAATCCCTTAAACTGATAAAATACACAAATACATCAAAAGTTATATCCCAAACTGAATTGGATTGATCAAATCGTATACATCAACCACCAAACTCGTACATTTCACAACTTAAATTCATTATAAATAGGGAGGTTCAAATGAACGTACGAATAAACGATATCATTGAGAAGCTTGAAAAAAATTAATTTGAAGATGCATATGTAAACCATTTTTGCATACCTACTTATTTATCGATTATTCACATATGAAGATGTAATGTGAGTTAAACATTAGGTTTACCAATGACTCACATGTATACAAATCCTTTTTTTCTTTTTCTTTTTAGCTTTTTTATTTATTTAAATCTTGATCTATGAACTTTCTATGTTTTCCTTATGCAAATTTGATTGGATTTCCGACTAATCACAACACCATTATTAATTCGATAAATATTTTTGTTATACAGTTTTGAACCACCGAAGACCGATGCATCTTCAACCATGTAACACCACTTGTAAATGATAAACGACATCCCAAAAACTAAACCTTATATCAAAACATGTAAAGCTTGCAATTTTGTCCTAGTTTGATTCAGACATTTAGCACCAAAAGACTGTAGGGCTGATCAAGGGTTATATCATGCCCATCTTTATCATGGTTTTGTATCATTATAATGCACTTTAAGCTACCCATTCTGAGTTGCAATCCTAACAACAAGACACACTTTGCATATATTGAGATCCATTTCAGCCAATGACTTGAAGTATATGCAAGATGATACATCCATCATTCAACGTACAAGATGCATGGATAAACCGGAGATGGATTAATTTCAAGATTTGTAAACGGGTTTCCTAACAATCGTCAAAGAAACTATCAAACGAAAACGAACGTAATTAAAGGTTAATTTTATGATGTGTTTAGAAGGTAAAACGATATCAAATTTGTGATCTGTAAGGCTTAATTATTTTCATTAAAATATGGGAAAGTTGATGATAATTAGGTTCCCGACAGTAATGGAAGCAGTAGGTACAATAAGAAATTAAGAATTTGAGTATGAATCTTTCTGTACGCAGAACCAAATGCATGGAAGACTGACAATTTTGGTATGTGTATCAATTTGACTTTAATGTTCTAATCTCATTTAATGCAAGCATTATTTTATGATTAATTTGAGTGGCATTAATGTCAACAATTAATTAAAGCCTCGAGTACTGAAATATTAAACTATACTTGAATTTATATCCTCTATTATTTTATTTATTAAAGAGTAAACTATGAATTTGATCCATGTTGTTTATCGAAAATAGCATTTTTCGTCCTTGTAGTTTCGAAATCATAAAAACATCTATGTTCTTTTATCAATTTTTTTTTATTTAATCAAATTTATTTATTATTTAAATCAAAACTAATATACATACATATATATACACACATATAGTATTAGAATATTATAAAGAAAGAAAAAATAAAAAGAGAAAAATGTCAAAAAAAAGTAAACTACAACTTGGTTCTTGTGAATTTTGATTGGGTAAAATAATAAACAATTGGTTAATGAACGAAAATGCCTTCTCATTTATCATGATTTTCTTCACCGCTGTATATAAGAGGGAGGGACTAAATTCAGATATTTTTTGTAAACCACGATAGCCATTTTATAGTTTTGAAACTACAAGGACGAAAAATGTTATTTTCGACAAACTATAAGGAACAAATCTGTAATTTACTAATTATTAAATCTGCCAGATTTTCAGGATTAATTTAAAAAGGACCGACTCATAGTCACACACTTGTGGGGTTGAGCAACAAGCTGGATTTTCATTAAAATGTCCGTGGGCAAATCTGAGTCCTTTTTTTATAGAACAATATATACTAGGGGTTTATAATTTGAAAGATTCACAATTTACTAATATTAAATAAAATAACTCAATTTATATGAATCTTATAAATCACTTATAAGAAAGATTGTATATAATGGTTGAATTCAACGACTTGGTTAAAATGGAGGATGTTATCTTGGAAAATAATGAAACTAGTACGCAACTTTAAATACCATTGTGGATGACGAATTAACAAATACTCTGAAAGAGGTCGAAGATGAAAACCAAGGAGATAGAAGAAACGAAGAACTGAAAGCGAAAATCAAAGAAATTAAATGAAGATCTAAAGCTTCATAGATTGTAATAATACAATAATATTATTAAAGAACACGAAAACAACAAATCACGTGAAAAATCACATGTCATTTTTCACTAACAGTCAACGCAAGAGTGTGTAGGCGACATGACCCGCGACCTCAGGTCATGGTTAAAGTTGCATGAATCATATGTGATTTTACACGTATAATTTTAACGTACAATCATATGTGATTCAACCGTTTTTTATTATTTTATTTGGTTATTTTTTTGATGTAAACCTGACTCTCTCTATATATACACACTCATCGATTAACATAATTATCAATAATAATGCTATATATAGACGATTAACTATTATGTCTATCATATCGATTAACGTATGATTACGAAGCTATTAATTTTATTGATTTTGTCTTTGTATCAGTAACTAACTAATGTTGGTTATTAGTTGGTCTGTTATTTGTTAGTTATTAACTTGAGTTAATTGTTAGTTGAGGGTTT